ATGCGCTCTAGGAATACTGTCATGTGCTTTAAGATTATGTGTTCGAGAAGTTTACATGATGTACTAGTTAGAGAAATGGGCCTGAAATTTGAAGGTGAATCTGCGTCTCCTCCTTTGTGGATTGGTTTTATCTTGGCTATTTTCCATTCTTGAGGTAGCTGTGAAGTACTGAGTGATTTCCGGAAAATTAGGCCTAGGTATCTACTGCACCACTCTGCATATCTTTTGAGGAATGTATTTGGTATATCGTCGGGACCGCTACCTTTCTTGGGGTCAAGTTTAAGCAAAAGGTTGAAAATCCCTGCGTCCGTAATGTCCAGTTTATCGATTTCCGTGTATTGTTTTGTTTTAATCGCGGGAATGATATTATCATCCACGGTGAACACTGACTGAAAAAAATTATTATATGCGTTGGCCTTAGTTTTTTTTTCTTCGGGAAGAAGATGTGGTGTAACGGTTTTATTGGTACGAAAGTGATTCCAGAACCTTTGGGGATTATCAACAAGGAAGTTAGGCAATACTACGTCAAAATAGTGCTGCTTAGCACGTTTAGCTTTAAGTTTGAATTCCGCGATAGCTTCCGATAGTTTCTGAATTTCGGATTCTCCCCCTCCTTTCGTTTTTATTGCCCTGCGTAACCTTTTCAAGCGTCGCTTTGCTTGAATTACCTCCCGCGTGATCCATGGATTATTTTTTGGAGGACGCTTTGTTTTTGTGGGTATGTAGTGCGCGATACAGTAAAGTACAACTGATTTGAAGTGGAGCCAAAGAGAATCTACATCTATTGAAGCATGGGAACCGGTTTCTGAAAATGCTGGAATTCATGAGCGAGATGCGTCAGCACGCTATCATCATCGGCGTTTTCGAAGTCTGTTACTACAGATACAGAAGAATGAGTGGTTATGGTGCCGTCGAGGGGTACGAAGCACACTGGTACGTCGTGGTCAGATATACCATGGACTACGTCAGTTTTAATGCGGTTTATGTCGAAATGATTACTGAAAAATATTAGATCAAGTATGTTCTGTGAAATTCCCTGTGAGCGGGTTGGACGTGAAACGACCTGATGGAGATTAAAGGTAAGCATAAGGTCAAACAATGTATCCGAAGCCGATGATGAGTAGCACATACTATTCCAGTTAATATCTGGCAGATTAAAATCACCCATGAGAACAACGCGCGAACCAAAGGTGTGACGTTGCATGTAATCGTGAATGGCACTGATAGAAGCATCACCAGAATTTGGGCTCCGATAAACACAACCTATGAATATACTCGCGCCGTCACAGAGCAGTTTGCAAAAAATGGCTTCTGCGCTTTGTACATCCGGAAGAGCAACAAATGAAAGTCCCTTTTTTATTAATAACGCCACTCCACCACCACGTGTGGGGCGGTCTTTTCGGATCACAGAATAGTTAGGTGGTGCAAACTCGTGATCAAAGACGTCAGGCGTCAGCCAGGTTTCTGTAATTGCTGCCAAGTGGGGCTCATGATCAATGATCAGATTTTCAAGCAATTCAGGCTTATTGATGACGCTTCGTGCATTCACCGTGAGGAGTGCTAGTTCACCGATTTTGCAGCACGACGAGTAACAGCTCCCTTTTTTGTTTGATGACTAGGTACGTTCACCGCCGTTGCTGAACTTGTAGTAGCCGAGGCTTCTCCTACGGTTTTTTTATTAAGCGGTACCTTGTCATCCTTCTCATTGTTCCAAACATATGCGCGATTATTTATATATAACTTATCAAAAACAAGAGAAACTTTCTCATTATTTTGTCGGTTAGCTTTCGCACTGTTCCATAGTTTCCTTCGGATATCGCGTACATGTTTAGAAAAGTCTTCAGCAATCGATAGGCCGGTATCTTTAAGTTTATATCCCCTCTTTAGTATTGAAGGTTTGTCTCTAGAATCTAGTAGTTTAATAATTACAGGTCTAACCTTGTTTGGCGCTGCTCTACCTATCCGGTGTATGCGCTCGATTGCTATTGGTTTTAGTTCAAGAGTGCCTTCAATTATGTTTTTGTTTACTGTACCTTCAAGTATCGGGGGCGTCTCGCCTTCTGCCTCTGGTAAGCCGTAAATTATCAGGTTATTTCGCCTGCTACGATTCTCGAGATCGTCAATTTTTTCTTGCATGGATTTTATGAGAACATTCAGATTCGCGATTTGTTCTTGACAACAGTTGACTCTTTCTTCTAGGCTTGTCAGTAAGTCTAATTTCTTGTCAATTTTAGCCAGACGACTTTCCTTAATCTCTTTTATATCCGCAGCTATTTCTTTTAATTGTTGGCTGATATCAGGACCAGGGTTCGTCTCGATGTCGCCGCCAAGCAATAAGAGTTTAAGTATAGACACCGCATGCTCAATTGCAACAGCATATAGCCGTGGGCACGGCAGCACAAGCAAGAAAGGGTTGTTTGAGCTAATGCATTTTCCATAACGCTTCCTCACCTGTAGGATGAAGACAAGCGGATTGTTAGCTGACCGCATTCCGTGAGTGCCACCGTGCCCAATGGCCCGGCCGTGCTTGAGGTGGTCCTTTATAGCTGGGTCTAGTGGTGGCGCTGAGCTTGGTCTATGCGCACAGCAAATGCGCACAGTGTCCGCGCAGGTAGACGATGAACGTTGCAGCACGGGATCCCATGACTGAATCAGTAAGGAATCTCGAGTGTTGATAGTGACGTTGACGCCACGTGTTGTTCTGGGTAGTCCTGGTGGCTCGGAACCCGGACCGGCATGAAGCAGCAGTCCGAGGATGAGCTGTAGGATGAAGACAAGCGGATTGTTAGCTGACCGCATTCCGTGAGTGCCACCGTGCCCAATGGAATTGTTATGCTTTCGAGTGAACGAGATTAACTTGCATTTAGAGGCGTTAAGCGTTAAGGGACATCTGCCAAGTTTCGCACCACCGGAAGGTTAGGTCAAGGTCATTTTGGAGAGCGGAATGATCATTAAAACATTTAATGTTGCGGTATATGGCGCAATCGTCAGCGAACAGCCTAACTGTGGATGAAAGGTTATCGGGCAAATCATTAATGTATATTAGAAAAAGTAACGGACCTATTACACTGCCTTGGGGAACACCGGATGTGACGTCGTAAAGGTTAGATGAAATCTCGTTGATCACCGTAAGCTGCTGACGTGAAGACAGGAAGCTTCGTAGCCAAGACAGGATTAATGAATCGATACGGAGTGCGGCCAATTTAGAGATTAAACGACAATGAGGGACAGTATCGAATGCCTTGGCGAAATCAAGGAAGAGGCAATCAGTTTGTTCGTTGGCGTTCATATTAAAGTGAAGGTCAGTCGTGAATTCGAATAACTGGGTGTCACATGAGTAGCCTTTTCTAAAGCCATGCTGATGGGAGAAGAAGAAGTTGTGCGATTCAAGGTGATCGTAGATATGAGAAGCCACGATATGTTCTAGTAGTTTGCAAGAGATGCATGTAAGTGAAATGGGTCGATAATTACGGGGCGAGTGCCTGTCACCGGACTTAAATACGGGAATCACCTTACCAATCTTCCAATCCTTGGGCAGTTCGCCTGATGATAGCGACTGGTTAAATAGGAGACAGAGGAAGCGGCTGGAAATATCTGTGGTGTTCTTCAATATTTTAGAGTTAATGTTATCAATACCTGATGAAGTAGAAACCTTAAGATTTGTGATGAGTTGGGCTATACCTTCGGCAGTGACAATGATTGGGGCCATTAAAGCGAAAGGGTGATCTGAAACAAATGGCACATTGGAACAATCTTCCTGTGTAAAAACAGACGCGAAGTATTCATTGAAAGCAATAGCGGAAGCTTCATCAGAAAGCGGCGTTAGTTCACTATCGTGTATTGTAATGTGATTAGGAGACTTGTTGTAGGGTGAAATTATTTGCCAGAACTTTTTGGGGTTATTTTTGAGAAGTGACGGCAAGTCCTGCGAATAATATTTCTTCTTCGCTGTGTCTAAGGCTTTACAATAGTCTTGTAAGCAGACCTTGTATTTATCCCAGTAGGACACAGAGCCAATGCGTTTTGCGGTATCATAGAAACGTTTCTTTTTATTGCGTAATGTTCGAAGATGTTTAGTAAACCAAGGGTTAGTTTTATCGTTTGAAGCAGAGATCAGCGGCACAAGCTGGTCAACTAACTCTAATAATTTTACTTTAAAAAGAATCCAGTTTTCGTTCACGGTTCGAGAGGCAAATGACGGCAAAAAAAGTTCCTGATAAAAGTCTTCTAGCTCCGTCCTGAATTGATGGAAATTCGCACGGTTATAATCCCGGATTGTTTTTCTCACTGAGCCTGTGAGAGTTACAGGTAGGTTGATTTGGAAGTTAAGGAGCTTGTGGTCGCTAAATCCTTCTATGTAAGAAATCGCTCCAGTGGTTTCTGGTGCATTAGTGAAAACAAGGTCAAGTATGTTAGTACCACGGGTGCATTGGTGAACAACTTGTGATAAGTTGTAATCGAGGGTTACTTCGAGAAAAAGTGATGAGGCGTGACATTTGGTAGTCATGGTAGACCAATCAATGAGCGGGTAGTTGAAATCGCCAAAAAGGTATATAATGTCAGCTGAATAGAGTTGCGTAGCTCGTTCTATGTTGTCACGTAGATCTTTGGGGAAAGAGGAATGGGCATCCGGTGGACGATAACATGCTCCTATAAGTATTTTTGCATAATATGTAACGCATGCTGTCCATGTTATCTCTGTAGAGGGGTTAGTATCAAGGGGAACTGATGACACTGTCTTTTTTACTGCTATTAGGACGCCTCCTCCTCTTCTATCGACACGGTCACGTCGATACATGTTATAGTTGTGTTTATCTGGGAACAGTTCCTCGTTGGTTACGTCTGGATAGAGCCAAGTCTCCGTGAGTATTAATATGTCGGCATCACTATCATCTAAGTAAGAACTCAACTCATCCCTCTTGGGAAGTAGGCTTCGAATGTTAGTAAAAGACACAGATAAAGATGGTGACTTAAACTGACTCCGCTTACGCGTGCTCGTGTTAGCCTCTAGCTATCTCGTAGACAGCACAACTATGTTGCTAGAGTGATCGAAAACGTAGGTGTTATTGTCAATGCGAAGTTTATCAACGGATAGCTTAAAGCGTTTGTTTTGAGCCTTTGCGAATTCCAGAAGTTTTTGGCGAGCTTGTCGCGTTTTCATGGAAAAATCTTCGCGTATGTAAAAATTAGTTCCCTTAAGCTTACGCGATTTTGACAAAATTTGCTCTTTGTCCTTAAAAAATGTGAACTTGACAATAATTGGCCTTCGTCTATCTGTGTTAAATCTGCCCAGTCTGTGCACGCGCTCTAATTGTGGACTAGATATGGAAGTGCCTAGGTGGTCTGAACAAAACTTCACTATCTTATCTTCTGAGACTGCCCAGTTCTCATTGGGGTCATCTTCGATGCCGAAAAATAGAAGGTTAGACCGACGTAACCTATTTTCTGCCTCGTCGCACCTATTCGTGATTTTTGACAGTTGGTTCGTCACATCGTGCAAAGCGTCAACAGAGCCAGAAGGGGCGGTCACGGACCGAGTAGCGGTGATTTCTTCTAGTGAAATCACCTTGGTACTCAAATTTCTAATTTTGCTGTCTGCTGCTTTCATTTTGTCCGACATGGCACGAAGGGCGTCAGCATCTACACCAGCCCCATCAGCATTTCGAAGAGCATTGGCTCTTTCAAGCGTTTCCACTTTGCGCTTTAGCTGCTTAATTTCAATCTCGGCGGTAGCATGTTTTGAGAGCAAAGCTTCGTAACTTTCCTTCAGATCGCGTATTTCAGTAAGGGCTAGAGCGAATGCGTCGGCCTCCGTCTTATTCATAGGACCGGGATTTGATTCCACATCACCGGCCAGGATTAATAAAAGTTCGCGCATGGCACCACATACATACATGCAAGATAATAATCGCTTCAAAACACTCCTAAGTTCAGGTGGGCACGACACCGCAAGGAAGCAACGGTTGCTACTTCTTATGCAAGAAGCATTATTTAAGTAACCAACCTGAAACAGCAAAGGCCGTAAGCATGGCATCCTTCCAGCGGTGTCGAGCCCAAAGCAGCAAGTCGTAGACTGACGCTTAAATAGAGCACTGCGCTGTCCAGCCATCGTGACAGAAGAGCCATGTTGCCAGGTGAGAAGGTCATTTTCATCCATGTTTGGAAAACCGAGCGTGACCGGTCGCCATTTCAGAAGCCAGGAATTGGGTACCAGCCAAGACGAGCCAGAAACTCCCCTGTGCGCAGCACAGCTGAGGTCAGTCAGCCAAGAGGCGTTTCCCTTTCGCGAGCAGGTGAAATCATTCACTGCGCGAGGAATGGGCGTCGAACATGGTGAAGTTGGACTGGAGCTAGGCGCAAGAACCGAAGCAGGCCAGGAGGCGCCCAGCAGCCCACAGCATGCTGCCCAGGTAACAGTGACCTGAAACAGCAAAGGCCGTAAGCATGGCATCCTTCCAGCGGTGTCGAGCCCAAAGCAGCAAGTCGTAGACTGACGCTTAAATAGAGCACTGCGCTGTCCAGCCATCGTGACAGAAGAGCCATGTTGCCAGGTGAGAAGGTCGTTTTCATCCATGTTTGGAAAACCGAGCGTGACCGGTCGTTATTTCAGAAGCCAGGAATTGGGTACCAGCCAAGACGAGCCAGAAACTCCCCTGTGCGCAGCACAGCTGAGGTCAGTCAGCCAAGAGGCGTTTCCCTTTCGCGAGCAGGTGAAATCATTCACTGCGCGAGGAATGGGCGTCGAACATGGTGAAGTTGGACTGGAGCTAGGCGCAAGAACCGAAGCAGGCCAGGAGGCGCCCAGCAGCCCACAGCATGCTGCCCAGGTAACAGTGACCTGAAACAGCAAAGGCCGTAAGCATGGCATCCTTCCAGCGGTGCCGAGCCCCTAAGACTGCATCATGCAGTAGTCGTAAGGAAGATCATGCAGTAGTCGTAAGGAAGATCCAGATCGAGGTCAATCTGTATCGCCGTGTAAGCTTTATGCACGACGAGGCATGTGGTGGTGCCGCCTACATAGGAGCAGTATCCGGAAAGGGATGGAGCAGGGCCATATTCTTGGAGCGCCAAGACGACCGGCTGAGAGCCAAGTGAGCTGAGGAAAAAGGAAAGATGTGAACGCTTCCGCCTGTTCCCGAAGCCTCCAGGGTTCCACTGTATGATCTCAAACTTAGACGCAATATTTGAACGGGACGTACGGTTGGTAGGCATCGTGACAGTCTTAGGTTTTATATTTGGTCCTCCATGTCCCGCTCGGAATCCTCAGAGGCAGGGAGGGGCACAGAGGCCGGATTGTCCGACGGCGGGGTGGTGGTAGCCACCTTACGACGACGCCATGGAGCTGCACCCTCACTGCTCACCGAGCAGGAGTGGAAACGCGATGCCTTGGGTTGAAACTGGGTGATTGCCCAGGCTTGAATAGCCTGGGTAACCTCCATACTGTGCGTTGGACAGAGAAGCTGGTGAGGAGGTGATTAATGGAAGCTTCGACGCGCGTAAGGCGTTCCTCTATGCGCGAGGCGCGCTCCTTGCTAGGGAGAGTTTGGTTAGTGGGCAATAGAGCCTGAGGTGCCCCAGGAGCCTCAAGAGCTTCTGGAGTAGATGCGGCACCAGTTCCGAGTGCTGGAGTACACATGGCTGCTTGAACCGGTGGTTTATTGGGAGTGGACTTGGCGCGAGGACTAAGCTTGGATGTAGCTGGCGAAGCCGCCTGGACGGAGGAGGCAATACCGGATGGCCTTTTAGTACACTGTTGTTGGGATTGAAGTCGCTTATTTAAGAGTTCGAGTTGTTTAGTTCAAAGAGAATTTTGCTTTTGAAGTGCCGCAACATGCTGGCGAAAGGCCGCAAGTTCGGGAGGAGGAGGATCGACAGAAGGGGGTCAGAGAGGCTTAGAAGCAGCATTCCCTGCCGAACTGCTCACCTGAGGTACCGCCGCTGGTGCTTCGAGCAGTGGGAATGCCTGAGTGTCGGCTTGGAGTGGTGGAGCCGACTGATGCAGGTTGGTGCCGCTGTCTGGTTGTGACGAATATGAGGTGGTCCCTCGAAGAGATGTTGAGGGCTGCTTGCGTTTTCGATATTTCGCCGTGCAGCCACTGGTCCCAGTCTCATGGGCGCCGTGACAGAGGAGGCACTTGGGGTGGCAATCGTGGGCGTGGAGACCTGCAGGTGCGGGGGTTCCACATTTGGCACACTGGGTTGGACCGGGGTGAGGACACTGAGGCGGTCGATGACCGATGGTACCGCACTTGGTGCAAACAGGGACCGTTTTCTTGTAGGCGCGGATATACGTCGCCACGCAGTGGTAGAAGAGCAAGTGGGGTAACTTCGTGCTCTCGAAAGTCACCACTGCCGCCGCGGAATCTCCGAGTTTGCGGACCGCGAGGATAGTACCTCGAGACCAATGCAGTTCGACTTTATCTTCTCCGGGCTTTCAGCAGGGTTTATGTTGATGACGCCCTTGCATGTATCCCCTGTTGCCTTGGCGTGGCCTCGAACGGGCAGCTGCTGATCCCCCACTTGCAGCTGGAATTCCCGGAGGAGTCGCTGTGCCATAGGCAAAATGGTGGTGCTACAGACCAAGATGTTTTGTTCCCAGATCGGCCACACTTGAATTTGCGTGGTAGTCCGTTCGCCGATGTAGCTGCGGATGGCGTCGCCCGCGTGATCGGCCGGGACGAATGTGCGTAGCTCGCAGGGAACGCGAGGTTTCACTACTACGATGTAGTCGTCGCGAGAGAGGCGAGGAGTCTGACGCGGACGCCACTTGCGTTGCTTCGCTGGCTGCGAGGACGGAGCAGAGGTAGGCGCACGACCGGAGGGATGGCGCACCGGCGTTCCTTGCAAGGCTGGGGAACGACGGTCCAGCTGTGGCGTCTCGTTGTTGTTGAGACGCAGACTTCGATTTCGCTTGCTTGCGTTGCAACAGTCTCACCATGTCTTCGAGGTATTCGTCTTCTGATGGCATAGTGTTTACGGAGGATGAAATCTCCATGGACAGTACTTCGCTTGAGGTAGGATTTATAGCCCGTAACGACGTTAGCGGCTGCCATCGCCGGCTGAGAGCCCTCAACGAGGCGGCGTTGTAGCCGGGAGTGAAGGACGTCCCTCAAGTTGTCAAAACTGGGCCCACCTGGACGAAGGTGTTGTCTAGGCGAAGCGGAGAACTTGGCGGTGGCAATAAACCCAAGTTTCAGGGGTACCAGGGTGAATGTCCGCAGAAATAGCAGAAAATCTACGGAGGCGATGTGGAGTGCGTCCGCCACCTATGAGTGCTCGCAGCGCCCCCATTCCTGCAGGAGTTACGAGATGACCTCCGGCTGTGCGGATTTCAGGGCCTTCCCAAGCTGTCCTAACTTTCTTCAACTTCGCGGGCGGATGACCCACTGATGTTGGAATAGTCGGCTCCAGTATCGACGAGAGTGGTCACACTGTGGCCGTCGATAAGAACGTCGAGGTCGCTAGTTCGCCGTCTCGCATTACAGTTAGGGCGTGGCGTCGGGTCATGGCTGCGTCGGCTTGTTCCGCTGCTTCTATGTTGCGTCGTCAGGCCACCTTTGGTAAGTGAGCTTTCGCCGTCATGGCTTTGCCTGGTTGGCGTTGTGTTCAGAAAGCTCCGTCGCGTCCTCGTCGTCGTCGGAGGATCGTCGGTAGTTCGTCGCACAGCAACCGCACCTCCATCGGTCGCTGCCCTTAGTTTCCCAGATACGGGCTAGGAGACCGGCCCCGCGTTGGGCCAGAGTGCTGCCGGGGGTGCGGTGACATGCGGCGGCTGGGCGACGGCGAACGGGAAGGACTTCGTGGTGTCCATTGAGTTCCTGTCAGGTAGTCGGCGATATCACGTAGCCGTTCTCCTGGCTGCGGACGCGGTGCATTGACGGTCGAAGCCACGCAATCTCATATGTCGGTACTGGCAACTGGCGGTATGTGTGCCCGGCCTCGCCGCAGTGGTAGCAGAGCGGGCGGTTGTCAGGTGCACGCCAAACGTCCGTTTTCCTCTGCGCACTGCGCTGGCCCGCTGGCGAAAGGTAGAACGTTGGTGGGGGTGGTGGCGGCGGTGGCGTCTGGCGACGGAAGTGCGACTGGGCGGTGTTTTGGCGTGGACGGGGAGGAGCGTTGTGGCGTACTGCAGCGGCGTAGCTCATAGTTTCTGGCTCGGGCAGCGGTGTTTGGGGAATTCGAAGCGATTGCCGAACTTCTTCTCGCACAATGTCGGCGATCGAAGCTACTTGAGGCTGCGCCGAAGGTAACAGCTTGCGCAGCTCTTCCCGCACGATCGCTTCGGATCGTTTCACGCAGGTCTTCGGAGTCACTGGCTTGAGCAGCAGCGCATTCGGGAGTCAGGCGACGATTATACTGTCTGTTGCGCATGTCCAGGGTTTTTTCGATAGTGATCACCTCGGATACAAATTCGTGGACAATGTTCGGTGGATTCCTCATTAGTCCCGCGAAGAGCTCCTGTTTGACCCCTCGCTTGAGGAAACAAACTTTCTTCTCCTCAGGCATGTCTGGGTCGGCGTGACGGAATAGGTGGGTCATCTGCTCTGTGAAAATTGCAACCTTTTCATTTGGTAGCTGAACCCTGGTCTCTAGTAGAGCAGCGGTCCTCTGTTTGCGAGCGACGCTCGCGAACGTTTGAAGGAATGCGCCGCAGAAGACATCGCACGTTCGGAGCGTGGACTCCCGCTTCTCGAGCCAGGTCCTTGCGATGTCTTCCAGGTAGAAGTACACACGACGGAGCTTTTCTACAGTTGTACCAGTGGTTGAGGGCGGCCTACACGGTCGTATGTTTCTAGCCAGGTTACCGGGTTTTCAAACGATGAGCCATGGAACGTTGTTGGTTCCATGGGTTGATTAATGACGATCGCGGGCTGGGACGCTCCGGTTGTCATTGTCGCTGCAGTCGAGGTCATGGCCTTGGTCTTCCGCGCCTTGTCTTGTAGAAGCCCGTACTCCAGTGGGAGACCTTGCTGTCGGTGGCTTGTTCGCTGCTCTTGGTTGGCGTCGGTGTCTTCTCCGCGATGTGGGCTGGGTTCACGGCTTGACGGGGGCGTCCGATACATGAACGAAGCAGCGCTTCCACCAAAAGTCACGGGGTCGTGACGCGGCCGAAGACAAGATACTTTGTGTTGGGATTTACCCGTTTATTTGGGCGAA